AGTCAACTGGTGAAGACCTTTCTTATTTATTTATTTACTTATTTATTTCAAGTTTTGGCTTTCTGAGGCAAATCAAAGAATTAGGCAAGTTCCACACCTCCCTTGGCATGGTTTGGAACAATGACAAGCCTATGAAGTAAAAATGCTAACACTCCAACAGAAATAGCACTAATGCAGAGGGGAACAATATCGGAACCCAAGCCTGTTTCCCTCTCCCCCATCCCAGAAACCTCCCCTCTGTGAATTCTCAGAAATACTAGTCTGAGGTCTATACCCACTGTATCTATCCCACTTTCCTCTGCCCAGGACCTCTCCAATTTGCTCTTGAAAACACCGTTCAGGCTTTTACTCCAGAACTGCCTTTATCAAGGTCACTAGTGATCTTCATGCTATTAGTGCCAATGAATAGTCAATTCTTAGTCCTCATCCAATTTGACTCATCATAATTTATTACTTGGTCTTTGAAATATTTTCTTTACTAAATGCCTAGACACCACAAACACTCAATTTCCTGAGTATCTCTACTAGGTACTTCTCAGTAGCATTCACTGGTTCCTAATCTCTCCAACCTCTAAACATCGAATTAGTTCTCCTTGTTCCTGGTCTCTTCTCTTTTCTTTTCTTTTCTTTTCTTTTCTTTTCTTTTCTTTTCTTTTCTTTTCTTTTCTTTTCTTTCCTTCCTTCCTTCCTTCCTTCTTTCTCTCTCTCTTTCTCTCTTTTTCTTCCTTTCTTTCCTTTCTTTCTTTCTTCTCTCTCTCTTTCGTCCTTTTTCTTTCTCTTTCCTTCTTTCTTTCTTTTTTTCTTTTTAAAATTTGCTAGAGGATATGTGTGCTCACTGGAGGGAGGCAAAGGCAGAAGGAAAGTGAGAAGGCAACCCCAAGAAGGACGGTTATGCCACAATTCCTTTTCTTCTATTTTTTCCTTTCAAGATTTGGGGTATACACACTCGTTCACCTAGCATGGTTTTCAAGCCACTGGGCCCAAGACTCAAATGACACAGTTGGCCATGTGGGATCCAGCTATCCAACCAGTATACCACCAACTGTCCTTCAAATTCTCTTTTCTGTCTTCCCTCACTGCCTTGATAATCTCATCCAATATAGCTTTAAACATCATTATATCCTGGCAAATGTACACCACTAGCCAGATCACTCACAAAATTCCATTTTTATAAATTTAGCTGTCTACTTGAATTTCTTATAGACATCGAGGTACCACCTAAATGCTTAGTAGCTTTATCATTATCAAAAATTATATCCTCCCATAATCTATGACAATTCCTTTTCCCAGAATAAATGGCAATTCCTTCCATCTAGTTCTCAGGCCAAAAACCTTGGAGTCACCCTTGATGTCTCTCTTCCTTTCACATTTCCCATTCTGTTCATCAGTAAATTCTGCTGATCCATTTTCCATATATATCCAGAATTAGACTATTTCTGACTACCTCACTGTTAACACCCAAGTCTAAGCATTCATCATATTTCTCTTGAATTTTGCCATAGCTTCTTATTTTTTGTTTTGTTTTGTTTTTGTTTGTTTGTCTTTTAATTTGTCAGAGGACACATGCCCTCTGGAGAGAAACAGAAAGAAAGAGAGCTGGAGAAAGCACTATTCAATGGTATCTGATCAGACCATAAGTCCTTCTCTTCCATTTATCAACCCTATTTGGATTTAGGGCATGGCTGAACATTCATGTCGTGTGTTTCTTAAACTGTGTGATCATCCATTTGAGATACAGTTCTATTAATCATTGGGCTGTAGGCCAGCCCTGCTACAGCCTCTTAACTGGTGCTCCAGCCTTTTCTCTTTCTCTTGAAATCTAACTTCTTGTTGTAAAGTGCTATCCCGAGTACTGAAGGATGTTTTGCAATATTCCTGGCCTCTACACACTAAATGCTAGTAGCACACATCCTACTCCTCTCCTCTAACTAAGTTGTGACACATAAAAATGTCTCCATGTCTTCAAATATTACCAGGTGAGGTATGGAGTTACACCCCCCCAACCAGTTAAAAAATATTCTCCTATAGTGTATTTCAAACCTAGTCACAAGAATGACCTTTTACTATATAAATCAGATTATAAAATGCTTCAGCTTAAAACTGAGCAATAGATTTTAATCTCACAAAAGGAAGGAAAGAAGAACAGGAGGGAGGGGAAAAAATATAAAAAGCTTAAGTCCTTCCCACAGCCCTGATCTGCCAGTCACCCATTACTCCTTGATGTTATCATTGACTTCTCATCCTTTTACCCAGTCTACTTCTGTCCCACTTGCCCTTTTGCTATTCCTCAAATACATCTGGAAAGGTTTATTTCCTCTATTCCCTCTGCTTGTAGTCTTCATCCCATAGTATCTAATGGGGTTACCCTTTCACTCTCCTGAGCTCTCTGCTCAACAGCCATCTTCTCAATGAAGCTGCGTTTAATAACCTATTTACAAAACTCAGCCACTTTCCCATGATCGACCTACCCCATATACTTCCTATCCCTCTAATTAGCTTTATTCTTACTGGTATTTATCTCCTTCTGATAAACTATACATGTTACTAATCTCTTTAACTTTAAAGTCTGTCTCCACCTAACAGACTGTAATTCCCAGGAGGGAGATTTTTTTCCCCTTTTTTATCCACTGCTGTATCGCATCATATAGAAAAATCTACTGTATGCACTCAATACTCAATAAATGCTTACAGAATAAATGAAAGAATTGCTAAGTAGATCTTGAAAACTACCTTAGATAGATCCGAAAGGTCAAGGCAGTCTCAGCTGATACCCAGAATACATCTATGTGCATCATTAACAAAGCTGGTTTCCACTGAATTTATTTAAAATACAACTCATAATGTACAATCGAATGTAAGGATTTGTCAAAATGCTTCTGTGCTTAGGGATTTTTATGTAGGGGATAATAGAAAGCATACTTATGAATCCATTAACATATGGATTTAAATATCTACAGATACACAAAATAAGTAACATTTTTAGAAAAATATTACAAAACACCCAAGGCTGTGTGGCAACTCCCCTAGATATAAAAAAGAGAGTATGCTGGGGTAAGTCAAATCATTCAATTATACACACCATACGGTAGCTTAACAAGTAATAGTAATGGTGAACAAAGCTCTTTTCTATAGATGAAAGCCGGCATGGTTCAATTGTGAGTGAAACAGAAGAATAGAAATGCTTCCTGCTGGAAGTTGACAGTTACATGGAACCCCCTGAAGTTATAAATTGAGTTCTTCTGCTAATTACGGGTCTGAAGGGGACAGAGAAAGATCCACATTTTATTTCTCTCACTAAACTTGCAACAGAAGCACTAGTGAATTTTACATTAGGGTCAAGCTGGGAAATTCCCAGTCAATTTTACCCGGAGTAGGCAAGGGCTCTACCTCCCATGCAAATGAGGTCAGGAATTCCTTTCTGCCTTGGGAAACTAGCATGGAGATTTCAGTGTAACAGATTCTAATAGATTGTGATATACACGGGGAAAGAGAGAGAAAACAGAACAAAGCACACATAGATACTATTTAAAATAAAATTTTGCCTGTGTATTCAAAAAATACATATTTAAAAAAGACTTCAGAATTCTGTGGTATCAGTTAATAAAATTGCATGCCACACCCATCGATAACAAATCAACTGCTTTATCTACTTTCCAAACTAACTACTCATTGTAAGACCAATAAAGCTACACAGCAGGCAAGTACTTTAATGAAATAGGCCCAGTTCTCTAGGGAAGAGAACCTGTGGTTCAATGCTAACACTTTTCATCAAGTAAGCACTTTCTTCTTACCATTGAGAAATATTTTTTATGTGAATCCTGATCAAAAATGATTTGGGGAAGGAAAAGATGTGGAGAGGAGTGAGGGTAAACCAAAGAACTGCTATGATGTAATATTGCAAAACAGATTTCTTGAGAAGAAAAAAATGTGTTTAACATGTTAATGTACCATGTACCATTTCCAACGACCTAGAAAGTTATAGTTCACTCCCTGGCAAAAAACAGCAGCCTTGTTTAAGAAAGGATACACATTAATTCATGTACTCAAACAATTATTGAACATATTCTCTTTGTTTTTTAAGTGCTTTAAAATGTATTTCTTGCATGAGAGAGGCAGGAAGAGAGAAAGAAGGAGAGGGAGGTGGAGAGGAGATAGAGAGAGATTCCCAACAGAGTCTTCAGGCCATGATTCAACTCCCAGCTTTAGCCAGCTGGGATCACAGGTGCATGCCTGCCCTGAATATACAAGAAGATCTTGACATGCAAACCCGGGCTCTGCCTGTGGTTTCAGCATTACAGGGTAGTGTTACTACTGAACCACTGTGGCTGGCTGGAGAATGTCTCTTTGTAAAGAGAAAGAAATGTAAGAACATTCACAGAGAATACAATCTCCATTATTACTGTTTCTCTCTTTTTTAATCGAGTTACTGTAAATGGATGCTATACATATGACTGACCTAAAAATTAAAATTCTAAGAGATAATTAATATCCTTAGAGGTCTGACATCAGGGAATTTGGAAAAAGAATGTAATCAATGAATACCTTCTCCACGTAAAATATTGACTAGTTCTGGGATCCATCAAGGTAGTCTGAAATCGCCACTCCTTTACTTATTCACTATGTGGATAAATAGAAAACTCCCAGAGTCTCAATTCCCTAATATAGAATATATACTGACCACGCCTACCCACATGGTAGTTGTTATGTTGGTAAGCACCCTTCCCTAGTGCATATTCAGCAACTTATTGCTATTTGGGGTATCTTTTGGAATCCGAAAGCTACCTAATGACTTTCTAATCCCATGAGAACTTATTAGCAAGACACCAGAAACATACTTTATTTTACCTCTTCAGAAGAGATGACTTTTCATGTTCATCTTCTCTAAAACATAAACTTCAAAATTTTCATGCTTCTATCGATAGATTTCTCAAGAAAACACATGAAGAAGAAATTCCACTTTCAAGGACCTCTTCCAGTAATATAACCAAATAAAGTCTTACCTAGTTTTGGCAAGGAATAGGGCACTTTAAAGTAGTCTTCATAAAATTCTATTAATCTCTTTGTGATATGGAGGGCATAGTCACCGGATCCTCTTCTGATAGCATCCGGTCTTGCATATAATCGTACCTAATTAAAAATACATGTAAAAGTTACTTTAGCCTTTTGGTACTCAGAGTTTTATTATCACTGCAAATAGGAGTCTACATGAAGCATTCTGGATACTACAAAAATTAAGCAGGATTTTTCATTCGTATATCAAAGCATGCTGTGGTTGAAAGAACCAAATTTAAACAATTGAAGTAGCCAAGTTGAGCAAGTCAAAATTTCCTCGCTTTACGAGATGACATAGAGAAGATTTATACACCTTCTGTCAAAATAAATATTCAAAGTTATCACTTACATGTGCTTGCTAGAGATATGAAGGTATGGTGGATTAGTATAATGGCTCCCTGACTACACTGAAAGGAGGCAGGCTATGGGGACGAGGTAAGAAAGAAAATTCATGGATTATTAAAGGGACTTTGTATGAAGCTTTGGAAGTGTTACTAGTCTGAAAAAATATATAATTTATGCTTCCCTCTTTTCTTTCGAATCAACTATCCTTATTCCCAATATGCAAAATAGGGATCGAAAACTTTTCATGTACATAAGCAATCATCATTCTGGAAGTCTGTCTATTACTGTTATTGGCTTCAAACCCAACTGAAGTAATTCATATTTCTAACACAATCTGGATACTTAATATTGATATTTAAAGCAAGCATCATTTATTATCTAGTCCTTGGCCAAAAAATAAAAAAGCCTAAAGCAAGTAACATAAAACTGAACAAAACTAACAATTGTACAGAAAAGGTTAAAATGAGATTAGTTTTCATAAAGCTTTCATAAAGCTATCCGGCATCTTTCTTTCCAAAGGCTAAATCTATTTTTCACAGATGTGGTCCCTAATCCTCATATCAATTCTGTGAATAAGAAATATGTTTCGTGGAGAAATAGAAAGCACAGCAGCTTGGGAGTTGGATTTCGTTCCTTCTCTGCCACTAACCAAACTGGGTGATATTGAACAAATTACTTAACATCTTTGGGTCTCAAATGGTCTCTTTTATAAAATGGAGGTGTTGGCCACCAGCTGGTTGCTAAAGTGCTTTTCAGTCCTAAAAACACATTACTTCCAATCCCATTTTACAGATAAGGGAGTTTATGTTCTTTCAAAACCGTTAGAAAAATAAGCAGTTGCTCAGTTTACAAAAATAAGTGTTTATATTCAACAGAAAAACAAACAAACAAAAAGTTGTACTCAACCATAACGTAAAAAATTGATTCTATAATTAACTCTATTATCCATGCCTGAGGAGAGAGAACAGCAATGTGTACAATAAACAACAGTAGAAAGACAAGAAAAAGACATTTGACTTTATGTTAGAAAGACCTCTAATTCAATAAAGTATTGACTAAATTCAATAACAATCATTTACTGAAATTGTGAAGCTACTTCTCTCCCAAAAACTAAATCAAGCCTCAAAGTTAGTTTATAGACACCAACATTTTTGCCTGGAAGTTAACATAAAAACAAAAATTATCAAGAGGTACCACCTACAACATCAAAAATTGATATTCCTTCTCCCCCTCACCCTTCTTTCTCATTCTTGCTTTAGAGATCCTCTTGCTTCAGCCACAGGTGTACGCCATCACAGTAGGTGTTTGTTTAAGACAGGCCCTCACTATATGGTCCCATGCCTGCCTTGAGCTTCTAGTCTTTCTGCCTCCTCAAAGCGTGGAATTACAGTCACATGCCACTGCACCAGGCCTTTAGGCTAGACCAGGAATGGAACCCAGGCACCTATCTAGTCCCAACCTGGCATCTTAGAAGTGTACACCACTGCAGCTGGGCCAGAGCAACATTCAGAGAGGGAGTAGTTTGGATTCCCTGTCCCTGCATCAACCGTTTATAAATAGGCAAAGTCTTAGGTAAAGAAGCACACCCTAAGAAAAGGATAAGTATATAAGTGACTTAATAAGAAAGTGTTCTTAGGAGCAACTTACAAGAGAGTGGGGAAAGCAGGATAAGAGAGGGTAATAAGCCCTACAGTTTCAAGTAGAGTACTGGATTCAGTCTGATCCACAGAGAGCACTAGAGCATTACACAGGCAAAATTATGCTGCTTTTCAACAAGATAACTAGACTTCCATACACTTGTACCTCAGTCATTGGTTACCAAGATTACCAAAGGTATTACCAAATACCAGGCAACATGGCCAGAAGATTGCTTAATGGTTAGGGCATTGGACTCCCACATGGTCAACCATAGTTGGAGTCCCAGACCCAGCAACTTGAAACTCACTCCTGGCATGTGTTCACGTGTACTCAAAATCCTGAGAGGCGAAGGGAGAAGGGATTGTTGCATGGCCAGCCCCCTGGGAGGGAATTTTGCATTTTCAGTCTCTCTGTCTCTCCAGCAAGTGCAAGTGCCCTGTAGCAAAATTCTCTCAAAAGAAAACAAAAATTCCAGGTACTTCTAGTTCTTGGAGCATCTCATGACACTTGTCCCATGGCTAAGGATAGTCCTTTGGAGAAAGTGTAGGGTATGAGCTGTAGGCACAAACCAGTGAAAGCTAAAGGATAGACACAGCAAACAGAACAAGGTATTAGGTTTGTGAGTCACTCAGAGATATCCATTAGAGCACAGCATCCTTCAACCGAGTATTCATTCATTCATTCATTCAGCAAATACATATATGTCACCTGCTTTGTACCAGGGCCTTGACTAAATATTTTCTGTTTTTTGTTTTAATTTTTGCCACCAGGAGTGCATGGTCACCAAAGAAAGACCCAGAAAGAGAGTTAAAGCAAGAAATTATCCCCCACAGGCCATGGTCATGCCACAATTTCTTCTCCTCTATCTCCTTTCTTTCAGCATTTTGGGCACACAAGCACAAACACCCAGCACATTTTTAAGATGCCAAGTCCAAGACATGATTTCACAGTCAGCCATGTAGGACCCATCCACCTCACCCACCATGCCACTGGCTGGTCCATACATTTTTAATTTAGCAGTGAAGAAGAGACATTTTCTGACTGAAGGAAGTATAAAGCATTACTAAGACAAAAAAAGCAAAGAAGATGTAATCACCATTCTCAAAGAGCTTCTCATTTTTTAATTGAGTTAGATAATAGTAAGAAATAGAGTCAGACAGCTAAAGCGGACACATTACGTAATTATATGCCATATGAAAGATAAAATATAAATGACAAATGGATACTGAGGAAGAACAGGTAGCTATCAGAAAGTTCAAGGCAGAGTAATTAGTAAATACATTCTAAAACCGTAACCAGGTCTACTGCAAAATGATGTAGCAAAGGTCACTGACTTCACTCTTAGAAAGTGTCATTCATTTTGGTAGAAACACAACCATTCCTATCAATCAACCCTACCAGTTCAGTCAAGCTATCTGTAGGCCCAGACAAGAGAAACACAATTGTATCAATCCAGTTGTTCTGGAAAAAGAAATGTAATACACTGTAAAGTTACATGTGATTCAATGTAATATAAACAAGATTATGATGATAATAAATAAATAAATATAAATATAAATTTTAAAATAAAGATTTATGGAGAGTATTCAATAAGAGAAGATAAAACACACACACTTAGCACAGGGTCTTCATTTGCTCATTCAAACATTTATTGTACACTTTCTATGTGCCAGACATACTAAGAATAGAAATAGAACAATAAAATTCTTACCACAAATTGAACAAGATATTTATACCAACTGCTCTTAAGAGGTTCACAATATTTTGAAAACAAACAAATCAATCAACCTCAAAAGTATCAATACAATTTGAGAAATACAATATTGTACCCTGCCTTCCCTCCCATGGAACTAAGCTTCTATCTGAAGCTAAGCCTTGCACACACACACACACACACACACACACACACACACACCTGCTCCTTCAAAAACCTTTTCCGTCTCAATTAATGACAATCGCATCCTTCCATTCAGCTCCCCAAGCTCAATGCTCCAGCATCATCCTTTTGTCCTTTCTTTGCATAATATTCAATAGGGCAGCAAATCCTATTGGTTCCACCTTTAAAATATATCTAGGATCCAACCACTTCTTAGAATTCCACAACCACCACCTGGTCCAAGCCTAGACAGCAACCAAAATTTTTCAATTAAAATGAGCATCAAAATATGTCACTCTTCTGCTTTTCCCCTTCCAGTGACTTCCCATCTCATCCACAGTAAATGCCTAAGTTTCTACAAGGGTCCCACAATCCCTATATAAATTGAGTCCCCTTTAGTTATCTAACGTTATTTATTGCTGTTTTGCTTCATAACTTTCTTGCCCTTCCTCAGACATTCCAGAGCGATCCCCCATCAAGATTTCTCATTTGTCCCCTTGCTATATCCTTGGCTCCTTCCCCCATCTTCTTCAGATATTTGTCTATAAATCTCACTCTCCGAGGACCCTTCCCTTCTAGTCCAAGACTCTCTACCCCAACCCTTTTCTTGCTTTATCGTTTCCTAAAACATCACCATTTAAAAATGTGGATATATATGCTCTACTTCTTCGTCCTGCTTCTCGTTGCATTTTTTCTCCTTTCAAGAATGTAAGGTACATGAGGACAAAGGTTTTTGTTTGTTTGTTTTTAGTTTATTCATTTTTTCATGAGCAAGAATGACAAAGAGAGAATCAGAGAAAGCTCACCCCCAGTAGGGTCCGTACACTGTGACCCACCCACAGCTTCAGCCAGCTTCAGATCATGGGCACAGACATGCTTGACATGCTCAGAGAAGTCTCAGCATGAACACAGGACCCTCCCATGAGTGACAGCCTCAAGAATCATTGCATTTTACAGCTCTGCCACTGTCTGGCTCCAAAGATTTTTATCTATTAATTTTAACCTTGTGAAACTGCCAATCTTTATTTTGGCAGAAGGCATATATGCTCACTAACAGCAGACAGAGAGAGAGAGGAAAAACCAGAAAGCACGCCCCCAATGGAGGGGGGAGAGAGGCATAGTCATTCCACAAGCCTTTTTCCACTCCTCCCTGCTGGGATTTTGGGCATGTATCCACATGCACCCAGAGTGTTTTTCAAGCCACTGGGTCGAGGAC